TCCACTGTGACTTCTGTCCCTGCAGCCCTGGTGAGAAGCTCAGGATCGTCTCAACAGGCATTAAAACATTTTAATACGGGTTTCAACCTCTGCTGGAGCCTTTGGATCCAGCCAGAAATGGATATTTGGGAAGAATCTAAGGCAAGAAAAGCACCTTGGCACAGGAATGCAGGGGAAGCACCAGCAGCCCTAAGTATTGGCAAGATTAATTTCTTCAGTTTCTCTTTAGCCAAAAAAAAAAGCTTTTTGAAAAGTCTTCGAGGTGCCAAGCTGTGCTCCCTGCCTCTGGCTGCACCTCCTGCTCCAAATCATTTGGGAATAACTCCCTGAGTGACCCAAACCTGCTGAGTGACAAGGAGGGACAAGAGCTCCTAAAGCTGCTCTGGAAGTTTGGACACTGATCCCTCTGTGGTGCCCCTGGGGCAGCCACCTCCTCCTTGAAAACAATTAAAAACCAATCAATTTATTTAAATTGATCTGGGTTTTAATTAATATCAAATGAGATAATGGGTGGCTAGGGCAGCAGGGGTGCACTGGGGCTGGGAGCAGTGGTTTAGGCACCTCCAAGGGGTGATTTAGGCACTTCCCCCCCCAAAACCAGGCTTTTGGAATTGCGGCACTGCCACCACCTTAAATTTAGCAACACAAATGGCAGCGCTGCTAAAAGGGGAACTCCGTTCCGAGGGGGGATCCGGTGTCACAGCCAGCAGCTGGAAGGAGGGGCTGGCCCTGGCTGTTCTCCACTGCTCCCGAGCCCCAGGGGCTGCTCCTCCCTCGGGAATTCATCCATCGGCACAGCAGCCCCCTCCCCATCCAGGTGAGCCCCTCTGAGCAGGGAATCCTGCAGAGGGTTGGTGATCTGGGAATCCTGCAGTGGGTTGGGTGGGGAGGGAATTAAAGCTCATCAGTTCCACCATCCCTGCTCCAACCTGGCCTTGGGGATTCATTTCCCACTCTTGGGAATTCATCCAAAAAAGAAAACAGCAGCTCCTCCTCATCCAGGTCAGTCCCTCTGAGCAGGGAATCCTGCAATGGTTTGGTTTGGGAGGGAATTAAAGCTCATCAGTTCCATCATCCCTGCTCCAACCTGGCCCTGGACACTTCCAGGAGCTGCAATCCCTTTCCATCCTCTTTTCTTATTTATCTTTCAACAATGTCTGGTTTATTCCATTTCTAAGTTAGCATTTTTTATCTCAAGGTTTGTATACACATGCACACTGTGTGAGCTTTCTCTTAGGTTTGGATATATTCATTTCCTACACTTGAATTTTCTACAAATTCATTTTCCACACTTGGAAATTAACCCAAAAAAGAAAACAGCAGCTTCCTCCCCATCAGATCAGTTCACCAGGCCCCTCTGAGCAGGGAATCCTGCAGTGGGTTGGGCTGGGAGGGAATTAAAGCTCAACAGTTCCACCATCCCTGCTCCAAATCCAGCCCTGGACACTTCCAGGAGCTGCAATCCCTTCCAACCTCTCTTCTTGTTTCTCTTTCAACAATATTTTATTATATGGCATTTCTAAGTTAGCATTTTTTTATCTCAAGGTTTCTATACAGATGGACACCACGTGAGCTTTCTGTTAGCTTTGGAGAATTCTCTACAAATTAATCTCCTACACTTGGAAATTCATCCAAAAAAAAAAGAAAACAGAAGTTTCCTCCCCATCCAGGTGAGTTCACCAGGTCCCTCTAACCAGGGAACCCTGCAAATTTTTGGGCTGGGAAGGATTTTAAAGTCCCAGTTTCACCATCCCTGCTCCAAGGTCTGTCCAACCTGGCCTGGACACTTCCAGGGATCTGTAATTCCTTCCAAGCCCTCTTCTAGTGACAGCACCAGGAACAAACAATTCCTGTGAGGCTCAGCACCCTCCACCCCAGCAATGAGCAGAACCCCAAATCCTCACTGCACAGCTTCCCAGGGATTACAGCAGCCTGCAATTCCCACTCTGGACCTGGTTTCCCAAAAATCCACCTCGTTTTTCCCAAGAGTGCAGAATAACAAAAGCCTTCCAGGAGCAGAGCTGATGGAAAAGCTGCTGTGCCCCTGAGCATGAAGAGGATCCCTAGAGCAGCAGGTCAGTGGGATTGGGCAGAGGTAAATCAGCTCCCAGGATTAGGAACCAGCACAGGGAGATCCTGGATGATCAGGTTTGAGCCAGGAAAGCCAAGGGGAAGGCAGGAATTTTGAATTAATTTAAATTAAAAGCGTTGAGGAAGGAGCACCAAGGATTTTGGTGATGTTCATTCCCTCAGCCCACCAGCTCCAGCAGGAGCTCACAAGCACAAACTTCTACCAGCACGTTTCAAACACACCCGAGGACGCTTTAATTAACACTTTAATTACCATCAACTCACCTACAACACCTCCCGCCAGGGGACAGAAACAACTCTGACCCTCAGCAGGTACCAAAGCCAGAATCCCTGGGAGGATTTAAAGTATTTCTCTTCTTGTTTCTCTTTCAACAATATTTTATTATATGGCATTTCTAAGTCAGCATTTTTTATCTCAAGGTTTCTATACAGATGGACACCACGTGAGCTTTCTGTTAGCTTTGGAGAATTCTCTACAAATTAATCTCCTACACTTGGAAATTCATCCAAAAAAAAGAAAACAGAAGTTTCCTCCCCATCCAGGTGAGTTCACCAGGCCCCTCTAACCAGGGAACCCTGCAAATTTTTGGGCTGGGAAGGATTTTAAAGTCCCAGTTTCACCATCCCTGCTCCAAGGTCTGTCCAACCTGGCCTGGACACTTCCAGGGATCTGTAATTCCTTCCAAGCCCTCTTCTAGTGACAGCACCAGGAACAAACAATTCCTGTGAGGCTCAGCACCCTCCACCCCAGCAATGAGCAGAACCCCAAATCCTCACTGCACAGCTTCCCAGGGATTACAGCAGCCTGCAATTCCCACTCTGGACCTGGTTTCCCAAAAATCCACCTCGTTTTTCCCAAGAGTGCAGAATAACAAAAGCCTTCCAGGAGCAGAGCTGATGGAAAAGCTGCTGTGCCCCTGAGCATGAAGAGGATCCCTAGAGCAGCAGGTCAGTGGGATTGGGCAGAGGTAAATCAGCTCCCAGGATTAGGAACCAGCACAGGGAGATCCTGGATGATCAGGTTTGAGCCAGGAAAGCCAAGGGGAAAGCAGGAATTTTGAATTAATTTAAATTAAAAGCGTTGAGGAAGGAGCACCAAGGATTTTGGTGATGTTCATTCCCTCAGCCCACCAGCTCCAGCAGGAGCTCACAAGCACAAACTTCTACCAGCACGTTTCAAACACACCCGAGGACGCTTTAATTAACACTTTAATTACCATCAACTCACCTACAACACCTCCCGCCAGGGGACAGAAACAACTCTGACCCTCAGCAGGTACCAAAGCCAGAATCCCTGGGAGGATTTAAAGGATTTAAACAAAAAAAACCCCAAAAAACCACTTTGTTTATGTATCCCATCAGCAGAGAGCCTCTGGACCCCTCCAAACCTGCACCTTCCCAGGCTGGGAATAATTCTGGGAATAATCCCCGGGAAAAACAGAATTCCAAAGGAAACACGGTGGCCGTGAGGATCCCGGAGCAGGGCACGGCGCTGCCCGAGCTCTCGGGCTCCCCGGGCATCGCCCCCCGGTGCCCGCAGCTCCAGCTCCACGTGCCCGGGGCTCCGAGAGACGGCACCGGGCAGCGGCACCGCCGGGAGCGGCGGCAGCGGGCACCGAGAGGGGCAGGACGAGAACGGGACCCGGAGAGGGGAGACCGAGAACCGGACCCGGACAAAACGGGGAAAAAACGGGAAAAAAAAAAAAAGGGAAAGAGGAGGCGGCCCCTCCCCCGCGGCGTGCGCGCTGCGTCAACGCGCCGTGCGCGTCGCGTCATCGTCCTGCGCCCGCGCGCCCGCGTTGCTGTGGTAACCGGAGGGACGCTACGCGCCGGGGATGGCGGGAGGGGCGGGGGGCTCCCCCTGGCGGGGGAGGGAGAGGCGGGGACGCCTTTTATGGAAAGGGGCGGGGTTATCGACAGGCTCCGCCCAGCAGCCGTGGCCACGCCCCCAAGGCGCGGGCATTCGGATCGGCCCCCTCGGGGGTCCCGCAGGCCCCGGGATCCTCCGTCCCCGGGGGTCCCAAATTCACGGGGGGTCTCACATCACCAGAGATCCCACAGCCCCCAGGAGCCTTCATCCCCGGGGATCCCAAATTCACCGGGGGTCCCACACCTCCCCGGGGGTCCCAAATTCACTGGGGGTCCCACATCTTTCCGGGGGTCTCACATCACCAGGGATCCCAAATTCCCCAGGAGTTCCACATCTCTCGGGGTCCTACATCACCAGGGATTCCACAGCCCCCAGAATCCTCCATCCCCCGGGATCCCAAATTCCCCAGGGGTCCCACATTTCCCCGGGGGTCTCACATCACCAGAGATCCCACAGCCCCCAGGAGCCTTCATCCCCGGGGATCCCAAATTCACCGGGGGTCCCACACCTCCCCGGGGGTCCCAAATTCACTGGGGGTCACACATCTCTCTGGGGGTCTCACATCACCAGGGACCCCAAATTCCGCAGGGGTCCCACGTCTCCCCGGCGATCCCAAATTCCCCAGAGATTCTCCATCCCCGGGAATCCCACCTCTCTGGAGACCCCTCATTCCCTGGGATCTCTCATCCCCCCCATGGATCCCAATCCCCGAGGATCCCTCATCCCCCAGGGAACCCCCACCCGCCTGGGATTCCCTTTCTCTGAGTATCCCCCATTCCCCGGGATCTCCCATCTCCCCATATCTCCATCTCCAACAACCCCTCGACCCCCCAAATCCCCCTTCTCAGAGCTCCAGAGATCCCCCCACCCCCGGGGATCCCCCCCTCCGCGGTCCCCCGCGTGTCCCCGGGAGTCCCCACCACATCCCTGCCCGTGCACCGCCGGGATGGCACCGAGGTGACACCGGGGTGACACCGGGGTGCCCTCGATGTCTCCGCGCCCCCCGAGCAGCGGCACCACCGGCCCGGCTCCACCTTAACCGGAGCGTCCGCGCCGCTCTGCCCGCTGCCGGGCGGCTCCGGGGCGTTTATCTCGCCCGGGATCAGCCAATATTTGTGGCCACGTCAGGAGAACGAGCCCATCCTCGCCCCGTGCTCCCTCTCAGTCCAGCTCCGCCACCCCGCTCCGCTCCCCGGCGCTGCCGCTGCCTCTCCGGTTCTGCTCCTCGGACGCTGTCGCCACCGGAGATGTCGGTCACCGTGGCTCTCCTCCTGAGCCTCCTACGGATGGCTGCCGCCGAGGGCGAGCGCTGCCCGGCCTGCGGGGTGGCCGCGCTGGCCCCCGGGGCTCAGCGGGACGCGCTCCTGGCTCTGGCCAAGCAGAGCATCCTGGCCAAGCTCCGGTTACCGGGCAGGCCCGGCGTGCCGCAGCCGCCGTCCCGGGGCTCCCTGCTGACGGCGCTCCGCAGGATGCGGGTACAGCGCTCGGACGGGGCCGCCACCCCCGGGATTCTCCGGGATGCGGCCGCCACCCCCGGGATTCTTCGGGATGCGGCCGCCACGCCCGGGATGCTCCGGGACGGCCGCGGGACGGGGCTGCAGGAATACGAGCTGCTGAGTTTCGCTGAGCCAGGTGAGCGCGGATCCGCGTCCTGTGGGATGAAAGGAAAGGAAAGAGGAAAGAGGAAAGAGGAAAGAGGAAAGGAAAGGAAAGGAAAGGAAAGGAAAGGAAAGGAAAGGAAAGGAAAGGAAAGGAAAGGAAAGGAAAGGAAAGGAAAGGAAAGGAAAGGAAAGGAAAGGAAAGGAAAGGAAAGGAAAGGAAAGGAAAGGAAAGGAAAGGAAAGGAAAGGAAAGGAAAGGAAAGGAAAGGAAAGGAAAGGAAAGGAAAGGAAAGGAAAGGAAAGGAAAGGAAAGGAAAGGAAAGGAAAGGAAAGGAAAGGAAAGGAAAGGAAAGGAAAGGAAAGGAAAGGAAAGGAAAGGAAAGGAAAGGAAAGGAAAGGAAAGGAAAGGAAAGGAAAGGAAAGGAAAGGAAAGGAAAGGAAAGGAAAGGAAAGGAAAGGAAAGGAAAGGAAAGGAGAAAAAGGAAAAAAGAAAAAGGAAAAGAAGGAGGGAAGGGAGGTGGGATTGCAGCGGGGTGGGGGAACGGTGCTGCTGGAAGGTGGGACAGCTCCCGGACCTGCCAGGGTGGGAGGGTGGCAGATGTGCTGCTCTGGGGTGTCACCTGCTGCCCATTTCGGCTGAGCCCTCCCCCTTGTGCTGGAGGTGAAGGGGTCACATGGCCACGTTTTTCAAAATGGGATTTTTTAGCATTTTTAGCCTCGATTTTCTGTCAGCCCATAGTGTGTGGAGGGAGATCCGCAGCTCACTGTGCCTCCACATCCCACCCAAAGCAGTGGGTGCCTCATTTCACCCCGGAATCTGCTGCTTCTGGGAGGAGAGAACTCCCCAAAACACACTCAGGGTTCCTGGGGGAAAAAAAAAATCACCACTGGAAAAAAAATACCCCACTCCTCACAGACAGCTTTCCTTGGAGAGATCAGACTCAGCACACCATCCCACAGAGCATCCTGCACCCCCACCTTCCCAGCCCAAATTCCTGGTGGTGATTTGGGGGAGGAGGGGGCTCCTCCCCCCTCGTGTCCTCAAAGCCCTCCGGGAACAATCCTGCTCCGCGGCTCGTTGTGTTCCCTCGCTCCAGGACAATGGGGAGCTGTCTCCTGGCTGGAATGGAGCCAGGGGGTGAATGGGCAGGGGGTTGTGTCCTCACGGGCAGAGCTGTGCCAGGAGCCCCGAGTGCTCCCGTGGCCCCGTCAGCCCTTTCCCAGGCAGGAGGAGGAGCAGCTCTGCAGCCGAGGAAGAAGGGAAGGCTCTGGGGAGACCTCAGAGCCCCTTCCAGTACCTACGTGGGCTCCAGGAGAGCTTTGGACAAGAGCTTGGACTGCCAGGACAAGGGGGGATAGCTTCACATTGGAAAGGAGGAGATTTAGATGGGATTTTGGGGAAAATCTCCTCCCTTCCAGTACCTACATGGGCTCCAGGAGAGCTTTGGACAAGAGCTTGGACTGCCAGGACAAGGGGGGATAGCTTCACATTGGAAAGGAGGAGATTTAGATGGGATTTTGGGGAAAAACATCCCTGCAAGTGTGGGCACAGGTTGCCCAGAGAAGTTGTCCCGTCCCTGGAGGTGTCCAAGGCCAGGCTGGATGAGGCTTGGTGTCACAAACATGTTTTATGAAAAATCCTTTTGTCAGGATCTTTTCTCCTGAGAGGCTGGGAAGCTTCAGCTTCTCCATCTTTTGCTGCTTTGGAATGTGTTTTGGAGAATTATTTACCCAGCATGTAAAGTTGTTTTTAATTGATGATCAATGACAACCACCAGTGTTGAAGCTGTGAGCAGTCACAAGATTTTATTATCACTCCATTCCTTTCCCTTCCAACCTTCTGATGGATCCTTTCTCTCTATTCTTTTTAGTATAATTTTAGTATAACACTTTAATATAATATAATATCATAATATAATAAATCAGCCTTCTGAAACATGGAGTCAAGATTTTCATCTCTTCCCTCATCCTGGGACCCTCGAACACAACCTGCAGTAGTGGAAGGTGTCCCTAGGAAGGGGTGGCACAGGATCACTCCCTTTTTCACTTCACTCCTGACTCTGCTCTTGCTTCTGCACGCAGGACCCTCCACTTCCCGCAGCGTCCACCTGCATTTCCGCTTCTCCCAGGAGGTGGCTGGCAGCACTGAGATCCAGCAGGCCACTCTGTACCTGTTCTGGGCATCCCCTGGGCACGGGGCACAGCCTGTCACCATCAAGCTCCTGCAGCCAGACCCGGCAGGGCCAAACCTGACGGTGACCAGCGAGACACGGCTGGAGGTGCAGAAACCCGGCTGGACCACGCTGGACGTCGGAGCAGCGGTCCAGAACCTCTTCAGACAGGACGCCCCACGGCTCACGGTGGAACTGGAGGTGCCAGAGGACTGGGGGTCCCCTCTGCCATCCCGCCACGGCGATTCCCACTGGCCGTTTGTGGTGGTCCAAGCCCAGGCCAGGACACCCCACCGCGTCCGCCGGCGCGGCGTCGATTGCGGCGCGGACTCGCGGATGTGCTGCCGCCAGGAATTCTTTGTGGACTTCAAGGAGATCGGTTGGGAGGATTGGATCATCCAGCCCGAGGGCTACCACATGAATTACTGCTCGGGGCTGTGCCCGCTGCACATGGCCGGCATCCCCGGCCTCGCCGCCTCCTTCCACACCGCCGTCCTCAACCGCATCAAGGCGGCGAGCGCGGCGGCGGCCGTGGATTCCTGCTGCGTTCCCACCCAGCGCCGGCCCCTCTCCCTGCTCTACTACGATCGCGACAGCAACATCGTCAAGACCGACATCCCCGACATGATCGTGGACTCCTGCGGCTGCACCTGAGCGCTGCCGGAGCGGGTGGGAGGGCAGGACGCGGCGGGACGGGGCTCCCTCTTCCCGGCTCCCGGCTGGGAGGGAGGAGCTCTGCCGAGGGGGTTTCTCCTCCCGCGGGTGAAGAAGCGTCAAGGGCGATGCTGAATGTGCAAATCCCCTCCTCTTCCACCTCCCACGCTGATCTGGGTTCCTCTCACAGCCCCTCAGACCGGCTCTTGAAGCAGTCCTGATGGACTGATGGACTGATGGACGGATGGATGCTGCAGAGCCCACATCAGGACAGTCCCTCTGCCACCCCAGCCCAAATTCCTGGTGTCCCCTGGGTGCTGCTACATCAGCCCAGGACCCACCAGTGGCCCCCCTGGGCTGCTGGGGCTGGTGAGGACAGAGGGCAGGGGTCACCCCCATGGCCCCAGCCGGGTGGACACGTGGCTGAGGAGGGAGAGGAGAGGGAAATCAACCCCAGTGAGAGGAACGTGCATCCCTCTCCAAGCTTGGTGGTCAATAAAGGCTCCCAGTGGTGTGTGCACGTGTGTGCCCTGTCATTCACTGCCACATCTTCCAGTGCCCCTGGGATGGCACAAGACAGACCCAGTTTGTCATTGCAAACCCAGGCAGTGGGACTGAGCCTCTCCACGCTGCCCCCAAAGACCTCCCATGCCCTCTGCCCCTCTGCTGCCTTTTACGGGGGGTGCAGAACCTCACATTCATCCCAGCCAGATCCAGGGCATAGCATGGGACCCCCCAGGACACGGGTGGTCTGTAATTCCCACCAGGAAAGGCGCCACTACTTGCTTGGGCCAAATCCCCCAAAATTCCACCAAAAACACCTGGTTTTGGCCATCCCTGTCCCAAATCAGGACAGAACGGAGAAATTCTTCAGCCTTTTGAAGCGAACAGACTTTGGGGCAGCCTCAGCACCCAGGATCCCCCTCAGTCCCCCTCGCCCCCAGTTCCCCCACTGCAGAGCATCCCATGGGCTCGTCCCTGGCCCTCTGTCCCTCGCCAGTGTGGTGACAGCGAAGTGGGACACGTCAGGGCCGTGAGAGCGGGGGACAAAGGGCGGCTCCGACACTTCTGCCCCGTTACGTAACCGCGGGTTCGGGTTTCTCCACCCCTCCCCACGTGTCCCCCATGTGCAAGGACTGGAAAAGAGGGGAGAAGGTGCTGGGGGGGGGGGTCCTGGGGTGATGCCTGAGGGGTGACTTCAGCTTTAGGGTCCACCCTGCACGTGGTGACAGCCACAGGGCTGATGCAGGTGGGGAGAGGGTCAGCAGAGGGAGGAGATGGTGTCAGAGCCTCTCCCCATGCAGCTTTGCATCCACTGCCCACTCCAGGGGGATGAGCCATGAGCAGCTCTGCTGGAGCCAGGGCAGGATGCACATTGTCCCCCGTTAATACACGGATCACTGCTCTATTTGTCCTCACTTTTCTACTTTTTACATAATTTTCCTACTGACTTATTTTGTGGCTACTGCTTAGCTCTGATCGCAGTTCTGCTGTCTCTGAAGCCTGCCTTTTGCAGTTTTCCCTCTGATTTTATAGATTCCCACACCTGGCCACATGCACACACCCTGTAGCAGGTGCTCCCATGAAGCCCCAATGAAATTGGGACCCCCATGTCCCCAGCCAGGTGACCTCAGTCCTGAGATCCACCTGCAAGGGTTGACAACCGACCCTAGAGGAGGGGACAGAACTGATCCAGGTGGGGAAAGGCTCAGAAGAGTGAGGAGGTGCTCTCAGACCCTCTCCCCATCCAGCCTCAAGTCCTGTCCCCGCTCCAGGAGCAGCAAGCCACAAGCTGGAGAAGGGATGGGCTGTCCTGGAGGACTGGTGACACTGGAGAAGGGATGGAAGGGCCACAAGCGTGTGGCAGTTTGTCACACATGCTCCCACCAGGCCTGCTGGAGCAGGGACCCCCATCTCCCCAGATCCAGGTGGCCACAGGGGAAGGGAGGAAGGCTCGGGGATCGATCCCGTCTGGGATCCAAGGCCGCTTGCGCAAACCCAAAGAGGGTTTGGTGTTTGTTTTATCCCTTCTTTTTCCAACTCCTCATTTCACTGTCTATATTTATTGAACAAACAACTTCCCTGGAGCCGGTGCCAAGCTTCCTGGGATGCAGCTGTGGCACGCAAGGACCAGGGAAGGGACAAGAGAGCCCTTGGCTGGTCCTGTGGTCCTACAGACCCCTCAGCTCAAGCAGCACAACCCTGAGATGCTGAGCTTTGTCCCACTCCCACAGGAAAGGGACACCCTGACCCTGCCTCACCCCAGCACGGGCTGGCCAAGGCTCAGGAATTCCAGAGTGGCACTTCCCATGCAGGGTGAGGAGGGTGCACCAGGGAAGAGTGACCCTTCCTCCCTGCTGTGACTCCATGCTCTGCTGGTGTCCCCTGATGTCCCAGGAGGTTTTGGAAGGGGTGGATCAGGCCCAGTGCTGGGAGATTGTCCTGTTGGGACCAGTAAGGCCAGTGGGGAGACCACCCTGCAGCCCCCAGCAGAGCAATGCCATGGGGACAGGGAATCGATCCGGATGCAGATGTGACACAGATGGGGACAGACATGATGTCCCCTCGATCTCCACTCCAGGATGGGGACAGATGTGCTGGAAGGAGCCTTTGCCAGAATCAACAGCCCCTGAAGCAAAGGTCCAAGCACACTGTGCCAAGTGCCCCTTGGGCAGGTCCAGCTCCCAGGAGGGGTGGGAATTTCTAACAGTCCCTTCCCTTGCCTTGAGAAGAGTTAATGTTTAATTCCCAGTCCCATGGCCCATTCCCAGCCGGTGCCACCACTGTGGGGACTGGTGCCCAAGGAACGAGCAACAGGGCAAGAGGAAACGGCCCCAAGCTGTGTCAGGAGAGGTTTAGCTTGGAGATTAAGGAAAATCTCATCATGGAAAGGGCGGCCAAGCCTGGAATGGGTTGCCCAGGCCAGTGGTGGAGTCACCATCCCTGGAAGTTTAAAAACATCTGGATGTGGCAGCTGGGGACATGGTTTTGTGGTGGCCTTGGCAGTGCTGGCTTAATGGTTTGTCTCAATGACCCAGGCTTTTCCAACTTTAATGATTCCATGGCTCCATGAGCCATGCTCAGGTGCTGCTGCACAAACTCTTGGGGGGTCCTGGCTTAGCCCGGCCACTGTCACCTCCAGGTCAGGTCACCAGGTGCCACGTTCGCCCCAACGGCCACGGGGTCAGAGGCCCCGGAGCCATGTGTGCACCTGGTGCTGGGCCCAGGGGGACCTTGGGGGGTATTTTGGTCAGGTCAGTGCCTGGGCTTTGCTTTCTGGGAACCGCTTAATCAACAACACAATTATGCAATGGGTGCAAGAGCCGCCGCGGCTCCGCGCTGACCCCTGCCCCAGATCCGGGGGCCGGAGTGTGCCGGGGGGCACGCGCTGCGAGGGGCTGGGGATGGGATGCTCTTGCTGAGCTGGAGGTGTTATGGGGCTTCATGGGGTGCTGCCCCATGCAGAGGGATCCAGGCAGGTTCGACAGGGTTAATCCCTTTGCGGAGACCCAGCTCGCAGCCTGGAATGGAGGGTGGGTGTTCTGCAGAGTGCCTCATCCTTTTCCCACATTTTGTCTCCTGTTTCCTCTGTGCCACAGCCCCTGGATCTGGGAGCTGCCAGGGATGGGGGAACACAGCACAGTTGGGGATGGGATGCTCTTGCTGAGCTGGAGGTGCTGTGGAGGTTCATGGGGTGCTGCCCCATGCAGAGGGATCCAGGGAGACACAGATTGCAGCTTGGAATGGAGGGTGGGTGCCCTGGACAGTGCATCATCCTTTTCCCACATTTTGTCTCCTGTTTCCTCTGTGCCACAGCCCCTGGCTCTGGGAGCTGCCAGGGATGGGGGAACACAGCACAGCCGGGGATGGGATGCTCTTGCTGAGCTGGAAGTGTTATGGGGCTGCATGGGGTGCTGCCCCATGCAGGGGGATCCAGGCAGGTTCAACAGGGTTAATTCCTTTGGGGAGACCCAGCTCACAGCCTGGGGAGTGTTCTGGAGAGTGCCTCATCTGTTTTGCCACATTTTGTCTCCTGTTTCCTCTGTGCCACAGCCCCAGCCCTGGCTCTGGGAGCTGCCAGGGATGGGGGAACACAGCACAGCAGGGAATGGGTGTGTGGGGCACAAGGAGCCTGTCCAACACAGAGCAGGTATCCAGATATTTGAGAGGGGGCCTGAACATGTGTGAGTGTGCATCATAGAATCCAGGATGGTTTGGGTTGGAAGGGACCTTAAAGCTCATCCAGTTCTAGCCCTGCCATGGGCAAGGACACCTTCCACCATCTCAGGTCCTCCAAGCCCTGTCCAACATGGCCTTCAACACTTCTCTGAGGCTTCTCTGAGCACCCTGTGCCAGTGCCTCACCAACCTCACAGCGAGGAACTGCTTCCCCATATCCCACCTAACTCTGTCCTCTGTCAGTGGGAGCTCATCATCCCTGCTCCTGTCACTCCAGGTGCTTTAAGAAGTCTCTCTCCACGTGGGAGCATCTTTGCCCATAAGCACGTGTGCCCTGTGCCTGGCTGGCAGTGCCACCTGCTCCATCCTGCAGCCAGGGCTCCCAGCCCCGTGGGATCTGTGCTCCCAGGCCGGCCTGTGCCCACTGGCTCCTCTCTGTTGACATTCCTGGGCTATTCTGGGAGCTGCCAGCCAGCTGAGCCCTTTGCCCCTTGCTCCGAGGTTGCATCACCTCCGGTGGGTGCTTTTTCCCAGACTCTGTTTACATGGCACCTCTGGCTTGGCCAGGGCCAGGGGCTCCGTGTGGTCAAGACCTTGGAGTCGGTGCACGGCGCAGTGGGCACAGGACATGCTGGAGCACCGGCCTGGCAGGGCTTCAAGTTCTCCTTGCTGCCAATCTCCCAACACCATGGCATCTTGCATCATTTTCATGATGTTTCTGCCAGCCCCTGCCCTTCCTCAGCCTGCGCATCCCGCTCCAAAGAGTCCAGAAACATCTTCAGCTCGAAGTGATGCTGGCTGTCACCTCCTGAGTCCTCAGGACACGCAAATCCTCTTTTTGTTTTGTGAGGAGGAGGGAACACAGTGCACACATTCACTGACCCTTCCCAGCTCTACCCCGGGCTGAGGATGGACCAGGTGGTCCAAGGGGTGGGCTCAGACCCCTAAAATCTGCTGGGAGTGACAAAAGCCCAGAGATGTGACAGTCCCCAGGAGCTGTGAGTCCCCTGACACCTGCTGGGTCCTCTGCCAGCCCCAAACGGGACTGTCACTTCCAGGATGGCTCGAGGGCGCCCGGGGGGCAGTGCCCGGGCTGGGGGCAGGTCTGTGGCACCCATGGATGGGCAGCCGAGCTGGGACCCCTGCTCCAGTGCTGGGCCTCCCCCGCTGGCCAGGATTTGTCCCAACCCTCACTCCCTGAAGATTTTGGAGGATCCCGCTGCCCTTTGCGGGGCTGGCCGGTGTTTCTCTTCCCCATGGGCAGATGCCAGGG